GAACCTTGGTACGTCTGATGTCGAGGATGGAGAGCTGGCCTTTCTGTGGAGCTGTTCCCAGATACTGGCTTTTCTTAAAGCCCTGAGATTCTATGATGAGTTATAACTCGTTATAACTCAAGAAAGGGAACACACAATAGATCTTATAAGGTCGCGGTGATTAACTCCTCCTAAACATTCTACATTCTACATCTACATTCCGAGTTTGAGCCTCCTAGCTCGCTATAGGGCCCGAGTTAGAACGCTCCAAAGACCCATCTCAACTTCCTCATTGACTTACCACTTTTTTTTATCGCTAGGTGGTGTTTCAAGGCCGTGTTGTATCACAGTTATGTCACGTTAATAACCAAAATAATTAAAATTACAAAATTACTTTAACAAACTATAATGTCCACTATTTTAAAGGGAGATCTCCATTACTGATCTTTTAAATTTATTTGGTGTTAAAATAAAGAATATACAGGTAGCGCCTCATACGCCGCGGAAGCTCCAAGAGAACGGTAGTTTATATCGAAATGAAATTTGACAGCATATGTAGGTTAACTGAAAGCATTTTATAAAATATATAGAATTATACAGGGTGTCCCCCAAAAGCACATCAAAGTTGTGTTTTTTCTAATGGAAACCTTATATATTAATTGATTTTCGGATTCTAGGAAAAAAATAAAGGTGAGTTGCTTTAAAGAAGCATATACCTAAAATCTAAGGATTTTGACATATTTCACATTTTTCACAAATTTTAGTTGACCTTGTATAGCTTGATATTTAATTACAGTATCCATTGTATGGTAAAACCAAATTGAAATTTGACCTGAAAAGTTATACAGGGTGAGACAAAATTAATATGGAACAAAAGTCACTTTTAAAAGTTACCTTTATTTTAAATGAACACCCAGTATATTTTTTCCGGTATTCAATGGGGAATTTATATATCTTCAAAATAGTATTAAAAAAAAAAAAAAAAAAAAAAATATATTTCAGATATTTTAATTTTATGATTTTTATGTCAGTAAATCTTTATTATTTGAAAAATCTAGGTGGCTGTCTTAAAATCTTTAACCATTTGTTAATTCAATGTACCAAAGATTGTAGAGTAAAATACCCAAGGGTAATAAAAAGATACACGTTTAAAACATATTTTAATTATTACAGAATTAAACTAGATATAAACCTATAATTACGCTGACAAAAAATTAGCTAGATGAAATAAAATGCTGAAAATTCTGCCTTTCCTGTTAACTGCAAACAATGTCTTTCAAAAGAATCTTTTTCATTTTAAAAGGCATATGAGTTCTATCTCGACACAATAATTTTTCCCATATTGTCGACACTAGCTGATCAAGCTGTGTCAACACTGTCTTTAACAATATCCCCATAAAAAATCGTATTCTATTAATTAATGCACACTGCATTCACCAACTAATAGAATCATATCAATACTCTCTGATGTAAGATAAGTTTGCATTTTCGGCAAATTTCTGAGAATTTATTTTATTTTAACTGACACAAAATTATAACTAGTTGTTAAAGTTGGACTAATAATAGTAAAGATAAGTAATAAAGATCTACTCAGATCAAATCATGGTAAATGAAAATATCTCGAAAAATCTTTGTTTGAGGGGTAGGCAACCTTAATAGTATTTTATATATGAATTCCTCCATTGAATATCGGAATAATATAATGGAGTGTTCCATTTAAAATAAGAGAGTAACATGCTTTTAAAAATGTGACCAATATTCAATATTAATTTTGTCTCACCCTGTATAACCTTTTGCATCAAGTTTTAATTTGATTTAAAGAATAGTTAATTTAACTACATATTAGGCTATACCGGGTAAATTCCAATTTAGGTAGCTATTATTGTAATTTAAAAATTGTTCTTTATTTCTAGTAAATGTTAAATATGTCAAAAACCTTACATATTAGTCATATACTTCTCTTATAAAACTCACCTTTATTTTTCTCCCAGAATTCGAAAATCAATTAATATGTAGGGTGTTCCATTACAAAAAACACAACTTTGATATGTACCTTTTTTTTGGGGACACCCTGTAGAACTCTCTATATCTTTAAAAAGTGCTCTGAATTAATCTACATATGCTCACAAATTTTCATTTCGATATAAACTGTCCTTCTCGTTAGAGCCTCCGCGGCGTATTAGAGGCGCCACCATAGACTTAAAATAAAATATAGACTGAGCATCTCATTCATAAATAGCTGGAACATGCGGTCAGACACTGTCTTGTTATTGTTGTGTTATTGTTTTAGGTTATAACGAGTGCGACACGAGCGATAGATAGGTTGTCCTTGTCGTAACGGTCGTTCCCCGACGACTCTGCCGAGAAACACAACACTGTCTTTCGTTTCTCAAGTACACCTGAACTCTCCATATCATAGCTGCAATTTTTTTCCGTGTTCTCAAGGCTCATCCTGTATATTAAATTAAAAATATATCGTATTTAAACTTTTTTATATTTTATTAAGATTTAGGACAGGTTTTTAAATAAAAGTTTAGAAAAACAATTTAGAGTCAAAAGGATGCTAAAAATAATAAAATACACGTTATAGAAGAAATTTTATAATCGAAATTAGGTAATTTTTGAAATTAATAATAAATTATTAATTTTAGTCAAACATTTACAACCCCCTAATATTAATCAAAACAGGATCTATTCCACAGATATAATAGAATCGGCGACAGGAGAGAAAAAAATATGATTGTTGTAATTTTTTTCCTGGTTACGTGATGTCTTATTATGTAAATTAGAGAAAACATAAATTTGTTCCATTAAAGCAAGGAAGGTGATAGGAAGTGATAAAATAAAAACTACCTTTATTTAACTCTCGGTACTGTCTTTATTATATTGGTGTGTTCAGTGGCTTCATCTCATAATTTTTTTATATTTTCAAATAAAAACAAGATTTAGTATGTTAGAGATGAATAATTAGATTATTGATGCATTAATAGCTTGTCATTTCTGTTTCACCGGAAATGACTATAACTTTTAATTTTTAAACGGCACCCTCGGTATTTCTACTTTATCGATAGAAAATGACGCTCTGAATAGAATGACATATCATGGCGTCAACTTTGACATTTTCGCATATGGTTTAATTGTAATTGTAACACGTGGTTCATAACGACAATTTGACTCGGAAATACTGGGCGTGTGCTATCAATATATTCATAAAAAATGCTTTTTTCCAAATATGCTAATGAGTCATCCTTGTTCCATTTGAAAAATTGACATATGTATGATTAAAATACGATTTGTACATCTTTTAACCGGCCTAGACAAGACACGAAACCTATTAGACGATCCAAACTATTTTCCAAGGCTCCTTGATTAAAACTTCAGGATTAAAAAAACTGATTGAAATTTAAATAGGATATGTTTTTAAGCGACAATGTCAAAGTTGACATATGATATGTCATTCTATTCAGAGGTCATTTTTTATCGAATAGCAATATACTGAGGGTGCTTTTTAAAAATCAAAAGATGTAATCATTTCGGTGAAACAGAAGAGACTAAAACAATTGAATACGTCAATAAATCCTAATTTATGCCATATACCTACTAACATACAAATTTTTTTTTTTATATTATATTCAGGAAAAAATAAAAAAGCAGTAGGTTGAGCCACTTTGGAGACGAGACCTGGTATATTAAAAATATTGTTTCATAATGTAATATCATTTTAAAATTTTAAAAGCGTTTTTTAGGTTTAGATAATTTTAGAATAAACCAGAATATATTTTTAATAAAAAACATTATTAATTATTAACAGGGTTATAATTATGATTTTGTTACAATGTAAGTAAGTAAAATAATGTAATGTAAAAAGAAAAAAAAAAAAAAAAAAAAAAAAAATATTATCTAAATAAGCGCCTTTCTACAACAACGCCACTGACTGCCAATGGGTAAATTGAGTTGCCTACCGGTCAAAGTCGTTTCAAGACTTAAATGGATTATTTGGGTCAAATTTCTGCAAATTTGGCACTGGCGAACCATATTTTATAGTTTTTGAACAGAAAAAGTCAATAAAATAAACACTTAAGGACTACAAGCTAAGAAAATGCGTTAATACAGCCGGGGAGATAGCGGCAACAGAGCTTTACCGCACACGTGCGACACGTACTACAAGGTAATAAATGAATGAATAGGCTCTCTCGCCTCTAATCGGTGTTGTCATATTGTAAAGAATTTATCCTTATTAAACAGTATCCGACTTATAATTTAGTAGTATAAGGACTATTTAATACATCTATGGAATATTAAAACCTACTTTATTAAACTGTAGTATTAATATCTCAATATGTGTGTATAACAAGAAAAAAAAATATTGATAATATTAAAGACGTGACAACATAGGCTGATGAGGAAGGCTCGGTCGACTGTACCAGAAGTAAACATGTGTACAAAAAGGTTGTTTGTCCGCGTTGAGATGTAAATAGTGTAGTCTATATTTTATTTTAAGTCTATGGGCGCCACCCTGTATAAATATTTTCTGTCATTTTGAATGTCATCTGTCGCAATATTCCTTGACTTCCGTTTGTGGCTAGTGTCAAAAAAAATCGGCGGTAAGTAAGATATCACTTATCATTCAGATTAATTTCTTCAAACAATTGTTTTTTACATCAACTATTATTCAATATTTAAATAATTTTAGATTTTGTAAGAACTAAATAATTATAAGGACGTAGTTGTTAGGAACAAACAAAATTTATAATTAGTTAATATGAATACTTTTATTGCAAAAAAATCATTGTATACAATGCATTTTTAATTTTTTTTATAATAATAACAAATTATTATTGTATAAGCCGATATAAAATGAAAGAAACTCATTAAACTAGAATAAAATAAATTAAATACTTATTTACTCATGATACCTTTATACAAATAAAATTGATCCCAAAAACGATTAAAAATAAATAATACTATTCTGTAATTCTCAAAATAAACCACCTGATTAAGTGGCAATAAAATTGGTACAGCATAAATTATAAAAACAAGTTACGCAATTTTACGTCGAAAAGGTATATTTAAACTACTAGAAAGTAAGACAACCTTTCGAGATATATTAGTACTTAATCTTACTTTTTTACTTTTCTTTGCCCTTTTGCCGGTTGAACTGGAGTTCCCGTGGCGCTGGCTAGTTGATTTTTGAGCGACAACAGCTTTTGGACCTCGGGCTGCCAAACGGATTTGTCAGTCCCGCCTTCCTTCAGTTTTCTCACCACCAAACCCTGCAAGAAGGAAATGAATATCAACGTTAAGAATAAAATTCGTATGTCTGTCCAATCAGATAAGACGTTAATTCGATATACCAAATTAAAAAAAAATGAATAAACAATCTAGTTCTCAATTCAAATGACAGATAAGTGACGGTTATAATTTTTTTCGCTTAATACTGTATACATATAGTCCTAAACGACTGAGGGAAAATTTCGACAGATCATGGCAAAAAAAAACAGATGACGGTCATCACACAATACATCTTTTTTATAAAAAAAAATGTGTGTGTACTATGTCCGCATATATGAAGTGAAACTTCTTACTAGCATCTATTAAATTAATCTATTTGTTATGCACGAATGCTGTTTATAAATTTCAAAAAATATAGAGTTAAAATAAAGCCGTATACTATTCTAGCTTTTTATATTTTTTATTAAAAATCGATAATCCTATCACCTGGCCGGATAGTCCTGGCCGCTGTGGCCATTAAACTGAAATACTACATCTATATCTCTGACTTCTACTAACTGCTAGTAACCAACAATCTGTTTTGTGCAGTCTGTGATCTGTTTTGGTTTAAATGTTTTGTTCATTATTCATGTTCGGGATTTATTTTTAAATTAATGTTAATCGTTAGGCAACCAGTAAACTCATAGAATATGTATTTCTTTTGCATAATCAAAATTGTCACTCTAAATATTACATAACCAAATTGTTACTATAAATCGCTGTCTTTTTTAGACAGATGTCACTTGTCTTGTCATTATTCAATTCATTCTTCGAACTCTCAGAATGGTGTTAACAAAAGTTTCATCTTAAAATAAAATTTTAATCAATCACAATTGTTTATCTCCATCATTTACCGGATTAATAATACAGAAATTACAGTTCAATTACAAACAATTCATTATTATTTATATTATTTATAGTGATTTACCTATAGTCTCCAGAGGAAGCAAAAGCGAAAACACTCCTCCGAAAAGGGGAGAGTAAATAAACCAAGAAACAACCTGACTCATCTTCATCAAAGGGCAAGAGAGGGAGCGAGAACCTCTCAACTCTTCTCCGGCAGGAAGAGAAAAAAGCCAGGATGGAAAGCCGTCCTACACCGGGAGGCAAGCAGGGACGTATCACCAGCTTTGTCGCTATTGCTGGACAAGTGAAAATGGCGGTGCTGCCAAAGGATTTCCCAGAGGTTGCTCTGACCACCGACCACCAAACGTCTCTAGAAGAGGCTATACTGGACGAAATAGTGGCGATCGGATCGCAACACAACGATCTACAAAATGTGGGTCAGCTGCGTTTTGCGGGGAGACACTTTCGGTGGACATGATCCTCATAGATTCTGTATCTCAAGAATCGGCGAAATGGTTGGTGGAAATCGCATCTAAGCTTAAAAATTGGCAAGGGCCGGAACTGGTTGCAGTGAAGGGAGAAAACATCCCTAAAGGGTCGGCCATAACGGTCTTCCTGCCGAGGAGCAAGGGGAAAGACACCACCTACCTGCTGAGCCTTATCCAAGGTCAGAACTTCAATGTAAGGACATCGAGTTGGCGAGTCATCAACTCGAGGGAGGAGGGTCATGGTCAGGTCCTCACAATAGGAATTGACCTCAAATCCAAGGAGGCAATAGAGAAAGAGGCACATATCCTCTATTATAGATACAGGACAACACCCATATCAGGTCTAAAAAGAGAACAAGTTAAAGAAGTGGAGAAAATGGAGACAGAGTCTCCAGCCTCCACCGCACGGGTTCCTCAGTCGGAGGCAAGCTCCTCGACTGTGAAGAGCGACACGAAGGGCCAAACTCCACCCGTGGAAGGGTGTGTACCCTTGGAGGAAGAACTGTTGTCAGAGGAGGATGGGAAATACCCTGTCCCCTCTACAACAGGGGTGATGGGTTATAGATTGTGTGATGACTCAAGGAAGGGGGGGCACAATAGATCTTTAAGGTCGCAGTTATTAACCCCCCCCCCCTCTTACTCATTCTACATTCTACAACTCTAAATTCTAATTCTGAGCTGGTGAATGACCTAGATGCATTACCTCGTGATTCAGAAGCTACAAACCAAATCAATGAAAATATGCATGAAAATTTTCTTCCTAACACATAACCAGACCATCACATTAAACTAACCTGTTCAGTTACCGCTGCTTCTAAGGCTTTGATTTCTTGACCATTACCAGCAACTCCATTAACCAGAGGCTTATCTGCAGGAGGTGCAGGTGTAGCTGCTTTCTTGGCAGCTTCTAATTTGGCCTTCAAATCCAACAAGATTTTTACTTCCGGTTGCCAAATGGTCTTGTCCGCTGCGCTGGATTTCAAAGCTCTCACTTTATCAGCCTGAAAAAAATATTTTTATAGATATATAATTGTAAACCAAAAGGTAGGAGCAGATTTAGGAGCGTAAATTTAAACAGCAGATCTAAAGTAATCGCAAAACAATTTACGATGCACGTGATCAACTTTGAGCGACAAGCTATGGCGACAGCGCTGCCAGATTGTGATGGATTTATGAGATAAATCTTAATGTAAAGTTGGGAAACAATATATTTATTTTAAGTATCATTTTTTAAAGATTTTTATGTTTTGTATTAGGTGAACTCTATTAGATAAGTAAATAGTCAACGTTTGACCTACATTTAAACAGATCAACTGATGAATTATAGGTTATCATTAATTCATTAGGGATTTCACTCACAACAATTAATAAACCACTGACAAAATAAAAAATAGGCAGGTAAGGTAAGCCTGTAAAAATAGTTTAATTATTGAAATAGAAATATCAATTATTTTAGTGTTTATTCACAAAAACAAGAGTATGACAGGTGTCAAGAAAAGAAGGTATATGAATTTATTTTGTGCCCAATATACTGACGTGGATATTTTGTAGTGCTGTCAAGAATCGAAGTGAAATGAAGCGTTGTTAAGCTTCATTCAGAACCTCAAAATCAGTGGAATAGATTAGTAGTTGGGAAGGTCTGAAGCCTATGAGTTGGACTTATACTTGAGCTATTATTAATTCATGTATCTGAACATTTACTGAAAGTTTCAATTAGCTGTAGAAGTTTGTTCACCAAATTTTAATGTAAACATTCAGAACATTACAGTTGAGGGTTGGAACCTTAGGTGTTACACAGCAAAATAAAACACCAAATCACCACAATACACCAAAACACTTTTACTTTTACACTGGACGCGCGTTTCACTAACCATGTTAGCATCATCAGCAGATGATTATAAACTGAGTTTTTTTTTTAATTTGAGTTTATAATCGTATAGTATTGTATTGTGGTGATTTAGTGTTTTATTTTGCCATTCAGAACGTCATAATTAGTGGTAGTACTTTTCAATTATTGAAAAGTTAAGAAACTTTTTTGACTTTTCCACCAATTATATTTCAAAATTTGCGAGGAATGTCATTTTGGCCTTTGATTATCACCCGTCAAGAAAAATTTTGGTTAGAAATCAAAAGTTTATTGTTTTATAAGGTAAATATTATGCTTTCTCTATGGATACAACAGACTACCGCAAGATGTTGCTAGGATATTTTATTAATTCTAATTCTGTTTTTTAGACATTGTGAATGATCGTAAACGAAACAGTATGAAGTGTAATTGAAACCACTAATTTATTCCACTAATTGGGAGGTTCTGAATGAAGCTTTAAGTGTAGAGTTGCGGTTTTAGGTAAAGCGATAAAACGTCGCTCTAACCTAATTACATCGATCTGCCATCTATCAGAGTCCCGTTTTCTAATGTTAAGTAAGTTTTTACTTTTAATCTGAATTTTCCAAGTCGTTTTTAAACATTTCTAGTCGATGTTTCTAGCCGCCGAGATCCAGGTAATCGCGAGGTAATTTGCGACTAATTATCGACTGCTGGTGGCGGTGACTTTCAAAATGTTGCCATCATTTTTTTAATTTTCAAAGTTAAATAACTCGATTATCAATTTATTTTAAAAATGGTAAAGAGAAAATATGTTTCTTTTGGCCAGATCTAGGGTAGGTGCGGGTTTTGAAATAGGGCGAGAATGATTTCGGTCACATTCAAACTGCCCGTCAGGCGGCGAGTTGGTTTTAATAACGTTCAGTGCGACAGAGAATTTGATGGTAGCCGGCAGCTTGTGTACCAAGAAAATGAGGTTAGTTCATCTTTTGTAATTTTAATATAATAACTACGTCACTTTGTTCAAATATAGTGTGCATGTATTTAGAATATCTGGAAAAGGCGACTTCTCGGTTGATAGCATGTCACCTAAGCTTTATTTTCGCGTGGTAATGATTTCTTGAACGTGATTTTAAAAATGTTATATGAAAGATTTTTTCGAGAATACAAAATGGTGCAAAACGCCGCAGCCTTTTAGGGGCAAATCCCTGCAGTGCGGGTTTTGCCCCTGTTTGTTAAAACATGAATTATGCAGCTTTTAAATTATATTCACGGGTATTTAGTTTTCAGGAACTACAAAAGAAAAACTCAGTACATGCCTATGACCGAAGATCAACTCGCTGCGGCACGTACACTGATCGCGAGAGGTGTTTCTATCCATCAGGCGGCCAAAGAAATCGGGTTTCATGAATCTACACTAACGGATCGACTTCAGAAAGGGGGAGGAACTAAACTTGGGAGATTTCGAGCCACATTTTCAGCAGAACGGGAAGCTCAGCTGTTAAACCACTGTATCGACCTGGATAAGCGATTTTTCGGCTTTACTTTAAAATCTTTGCGATTCCTTCTATTTAAATATGCCGAGGAGAATAACATTCTCCATCAGTTCTCGGTTGAAGCGCAACTTGCAGGGAGGGATTTTACACGTGCCTTTATGAAAAGAAACAAGTTATCTTTGCGTGTTCTCCGGAAGACGAGTGTTGCCCGAACAATGGGGTTTAACAGGATTCAACTCACTCAATATTTTGACAACTTAGAGGCCATTATGAAGAAGTACAATTTTTCTCCCAACCAAATTTTCAATATGGATGAAACGGGGGTACAAACGGTCCCAAATATACTTCCAAACACGTAGCCCCCACGGAAAGAAAGAAGTCGCTAAGGCTGTAGCAGCGGAGCAAGGCCAAACACTATCCGCCGTGTGAGCAGTGAGTCCTATAGACTATTTTGTGCCCCTTTTTTATATACGCAAAAAAAAAGAGAAAATCGCTTCTTATTAAAGGTGGTCCATTAGGATGCGAGATGGCTGTAACCGATAAAGGGTACATGAACACTCCCACTTTCATCAAATGGCTGAATCATTTCAAAAAGTATGCCAAACCAAGTGACAGCAACCCCATTTTATTAATACTTGACAATCATGTGTCACACACAAGCCTGGAAGCAGTTTCTTTCGCAAAATCAAACAATATTCACCTCCTTACTTTGCCACCTCACAGCAGCCACAAAACCCAGCCTCTTGACCGCTGTATATTTCGACCACTGAAGGCTTATTACGATGCTGCCGTAGATTCATGGGACGTTTCTCATCCAGGAGAAACCTTCAGCGTTTACAACGTTGCTGAATCATTCAAGATAGCTTTTGAAAAAGCAAGCTCGGTTGAAAACGCAGCTCAAGCTTTCAAAACTACTGGTATTTTTCCATTTAATGCCAATATATTTTCGGATGCTGATTTTTTGCCATCAGAAGTGACAGACCAGTCTCCAGGAGAAGATCTGGATGAGGATGATCGAATGGTATTATTTAATGAAGATAATGATGTACAAAAAGATGTGACTACAACTTCAGATCTTGCTGTTGGAACAGAGCAGCCTATGCAACAAGGCAACAATCATCCTGACATTGCAACACCTACGGTTGATACCGACCTTGTTCAGACTCCGCCAACAGCTCCTGCCGATATAATCCCTTTACCTAAAATAAAAATTAAAAGGAAACGTAAAGGAAAAGGGTTGAAGTCCGAGTTGCTTACGTCAACACCGAATAAGGAACGTTTGGAAAACGAAGCAGCTGAAAAAGAAAAGCAAGCTACTGAAAAGGAGCAACGTTCAATAGAAAAGCAAAAACGCGCTAAAGAAAACGCAACAAGGCAGCTCTTCTCGCCCTCCAACACAAAGAGAAGAAAGACAAATTCTAACGAAGATTCTTCTGACACGGACGCAGATTACTCGATTCATGACAGCAGCTCTGATGGTGATTTTATAGGTGATGATGATGGAAACGATCAAGTTGAAAGTTTTGAGCACTCACAGGATGAATCTGCATTGATGTTGCCAAATGACTATGCTGTAATTAAAGTGGATGGCAAAACAAAAAATTCTTTCAGACACTTTGTTGCCAAGATCGTTTCTATTTATCAAGATGGTTATGACGTAGTATTTTACAAGCGATTACCAAATACTTACAAATTTTCGGAAACAAATGAAGAGTCCTTCGTAGAAGTCAAGGATGTTGTTTTAAGATTGTCAAAACCTATTCTTAATCTCTCTGCTAGGTTTCACAATGTGCTTACTTTCAAAGAAGATTTAAGAAGTTTCCGTATGTTTTAATCAACTTGTTTACTTGTTCTTCATTGATCTTATTCTTTTAATAAAAAAAAGTTTTTTTTATGAAACTGTTTTATTATTCACCCACTTTATTCATCAATGGGGTAAACCCCCGCGCGCGGGGAATTGCCCTATTCGGTGGGGCAAAACCCTGCATTTTTGTTTTTTTATATAAACCTAAATTCTCCGTAACTGACAGACCGACGCCAGAATTTTCATTACTAGTCCAAAGATAAAATATGTGCGTAAGACTTCATGTAAAAACGACAAAAAAAACTTTTCCCAGTTCCAAAAATTATGCAACTAGATAAATATTACAGGGTTTTACCCCCACCTACCCTACCATCCCTTAAAATATTTGCAGTTATTTTTGGGACACCCTGTATATATTAATTACTTAATTAGTTATGCTATTTTTATTTTATTACTTTATCAATGTTTGCACTGCACGCCGCTGCAATTTAGTGGTTCAGCTTTTATATAAACATTTCACAGTTATTTCATGTTACATTACCTGTTTGGCAATTTGGGCTTCCAAAGTCGCTACATCGGCACTCACAGCGGTCTTTGCAATACCGTTCCTCTCGACTTGTGTGCCGGCAAATCTCTTTTTCAATTCGTCAACTCGCGAAGGCTCGATTTTAGCGAACAGAGGTGAAGGCTCGCCTATTTGATGACCGGCAGGAAGCAAGTTTATTATTTCGACGTTTCTGGAAACAAAAATTAGCAAGTTAGCTCAATTTTTATCAATCAAGAATCTTTGCATTATCATATGATAATATAATGAAAACGATGTTACAGTACACTTCAAAACTGTATATATTTAATTACCCTATGGTTTTTTAACATTACAACAAGTCAAAATCAGCTGTCACTCTCAGTATCAGAACAGGAGCAATAGATACAGCACAAAGATCAAGATGAAATTTTATTTCTATGTCTACTGCAATATCGTTTTCTTTGAATTAAACGATTTTGCTGGTATATATGTCAGCTTCATATAGTAAAATCAGTCATTCCCTGAAATGCCTAGTAGTTTCATGGAATACTGACAGAGTGTAGCTCTTCAGTTGGTACATCGTTTGATTGCGGATCTCAGATATTCCGCGTAATGACCGAATTATTTCATTGAAACACCGGGATTAGTCGAATCATTTCAGTTGCTTTGCCGGATTTAGCCAATGAATTATTGTTTCCATCTATTATAGACATGACACAACATTTAGACTTATTTTAGAAGAAACTAGAGGTATATTATTAAAGGAAAAATAAGAAAAAGCCTTGAAGAAGGTAAGTCAATTCATACATAACCTCAAACTACTGCAACCTACAAACTCGCTTTGAATTCGTACACATTTCTTCTTCTTACAGTGCTATACTCTATACAGAGCATCGATTACCTCTTGCATGTACTTGTAATGTGTGTCATCAGTGTTTCACAAATACTTGGGACCCACAGTTTATTGCCGAATCCGAAGAGCACTATTTGAGAGGCCGTAGAATACAAATACTCAAAGTGGTTGCCATTACCTTCCTTGAGGTGGTGGCTAGCTGGTCTCTCTAATAAGGTAAATATTTTTATTCAAATAAATACAGCTACTCTATGGGTTGGAATTGAACCCATTACTTTTGCACAACGCACAACAGTCGATAAACTACTGCTAGAGCTACAGCCGGCCACTAACGTCGCTACTATCACATTTAACATGGCTTAAGATATTGTGCTTTATTTCGATTTTTGCGGAAAAAATACTTTATGTACTCATCTCCGTTTGAAAAAATCGAAACTCTAAATATAGGGCGATTCCTCAAATTTGGAGAGCCTCTACAGATTTTATTATTAGAGACAGAAAAAGCCTAAATATTGATAAGTATAAACCTTTCCATGTCGTTTTTTGTACCTTAAATGTCATAATTACGGGAAACACCATACTTTGATGCATTAAACGGCAACACTGTCATAGGATAAATGATCCTCTTAATTAAATCCCCGGCAAATATGGTATAGTATTTCCGAAATCAATTGGTTAGAAGTCTCGAGACTCTTAATTCCTTTGTCCAAGTCCCAATCCATTCCAAATAACTTCAGAAAAACTATATAACTTGCATACTATAGTTAATTACGGCGTTCACTGAAATATTTCGTCACTACAGGGAACGACTGAGACCGGCAGTCAAACAATGAACCTATTGAAGAATTAGGCTGTTTGTCGGCAATGCGTGAACTGGCCAGGCATTTCAGGAAATTTAATTTTTTCGCGCCAAAACATATAAATTAAACATACTCTGGATCTAGTACAACGTTGTCACATTTCAACTGAGCCTTCAAATTTGCACTAGTATCTGGCATATACGGTTCCAAGAGTGTCGTCAATAAGCAAGCAATATTACAGCTCATTCCTATAACAGTTCCTGCTCTCAACCTAAAAAAAATAACAAGAAAAAACTGTTATTTTAAAAAGTAACTCAAGAAAACCTTGAATCATTACTTTTCTTTATGATCTCCCTTCAATTTCACCCACGGTTGATTCGACTGCATGTACTGGTTGCCTAATTTGGATATGGCTAAAATATGTCGGATGCCATCTCTTAATTTAGCCTTTTCCAAGGAAGCGACGTAGCCTTTTAATTCGCGCGTACAAAGAGCTAGTAAATTGTAGTCTTCTTGATCCAATTCCATCTTTGGGATCGTTTTGTTGAAGTTGTTTTTAGCGAAAACGAGAGCTCTGTAATTATATAATTAAAAAAGTTTCATAAATTGACTGTATAGAAGAAAAGACAAAGACTATTGCACACTGTGTGTTGAATCCATACAAAATTTCGATGTGTTCGGTTTTATTTAACAATGCAATTCTTCGGAAACTGTGATACTTAATAAAATTTGATATTAGTTTTCAAGTTAGCATTTATAGATGCATAAATAATACATTTATAAAAAAAAAAAAAATTACAAAAATTTTAAAATTAAGATTTTATAAAAAAAGATCGAGATGCAACAGACTATATCTCTAGACTATTATCTACAGACTATTATAAGTGAGAAATCAGTTTCAGTGATCGAAAAAGTCAAAATCCTCAACTAATTATTAGTGATGAATGAAATATCGGTAACTGTGACTTTGTCACTGATATTCTATAATCACAGTCACGGCCTGTGACTGATTTGAAAATAAACGGTGACTTGCTAAAGCGTGACGATTACAGTTAATTGTGATTCCTCTGGTAACGAGAAAATACTTCACAGAGTGGGACGTCGCGCGTCGCGAACGCAGCTGCCGATGACGCCGGTCGTGACTCAGTTCACAGTCACGAGTCACGACGTACGTCTCATAGGATAGATATCTGACAAAGTGATCTAAAGACAGTGACTGTTAGAAGTGATTTAATTTTTTTATGTATTTTATTTTTATTACTATTTTTATCACTACGAATCGGTTTGGTTCCTTTTAGTTTAGCAGGTTTTTTTAAAGCCAAACATAAAGTTTTACCTTTATACTGTTTATTTTTTAGAAACTTACATTAATAACATTTTTATATATTTCCTGGTTTGAATACAAAGGAAAATATTTGTTGTTTAATGTATTACTTTACTTATCTCGTGTTGTTAAGTTTCGTTCGTTATGGTTATGAGCATATTGCATATTTTATTCTTTTCTCTGTTGGTTTCTTTTTAATAAAATAAAAAAATTGTTTATTTTATTTTTAATATACCTTTTACCCACTGTCTAGTGTTTTCTATTTCAGCGGCCTTGGATAAATGACAAATAAAAATTAGTATAACAACAACAACAGAATCGTATCATTCGTATCGTATCTTATATTTTAGCCGTGATTGTGCTTTCGGATTCATAATCATAAAGTCGCAGTCACAGTTAAGAGTCACAGATAATACAAAGTCGCTGTCACAGGTAAGCCTGTGAACAGAAAATCACGGTTTGGCTCATCACTACTAATTATAATAATTTACATCTTTACATCGACAAATATAAGCAAGTACGCCAAAAATCAAGGTTATTCAATTTTTTTTTGTGAAAACATACCTGTTGATAAAATTGCCAAGGTTATTTAACAATTCGGAGTTGTTCTTGGTGACTAAATCACTCCAACTAAAACTGGAATCTTGGGACTCGGGTCTAACGTACAACAAGTAGAAACGCCACACGTCACTGGGGATGCCCGTATCGCGAGCGTCGTTGCCAAATACTCCGACTCCACGAGATTTCGAAAATTTGCCATCCTCGTAATTTAAGTACTCTAAAAAGTAATACAAGATACATAACATATACATTGGTATTCCATTTCAAGTTAAATGTCATTTGTTTGTTGCAAAACCTCATTAAATCAAAAATACCAATTGGCAGTAAAGTGAAAAATTAAAAAACATATATCAGACAAGTATTTTATCTATAATTTTTATGCTATTTGACTAATAAAATTAACATATCATTCTACATACCTGTTGCCATAATATGTGACACAGTAACATATCCCCTATTAGCGCCTAACAACATAGATGGGAAAAGAACTCCATGGAAGGGAACGTTGTCTTTAGCCATAAATTGATACAGGGTGACTTTCGCGTCTGGTGCGGGTCTCCACCATTGTTCAAAGTCCTTTGTGTAGGCTTTACTTATAGAAATGTACCCAATTGGGGCATCAAACCATACATAGAAGACCTAAAAAAGTTTATTATTCTCTTTGCTCCAAAACCAGTTTTTAATTTTAGAACCTTATTCCTGAATCCATCTAAGGGAACGGGAACACCCCATTTTAAATCTCTGGTGATACATCGAGGTTTTAAACCTTCTTTTAACCAAGATTTAGCAATGACGTCGGCGTTGTGGGACCAGCCAGGACTAGAAATTTTCATCCAGTGACGTAATAATGGTTCCAGCTGGAAAAAAAACAAAAGGAAACGTTTTTAAAGACATAAGTGACATCACTCTGTAGTGTATTAATATTAATACACCTTGTACATAATAGTTTAGATATAGTATTTTTAAGTTAATTAAGGACAGTTTATATTATATGTTTAGAATTAGTTGTTTATATAATATTAGGAATGCAATTATTTGATGCATTATGGATGTCGCACGATATGCTAATTAGAGTTAAGCGAATATATTTACTATTTAGAGTTAGACCAGAACAGTTGTATAATTTATTCGAAAATAAAGTTGTTTTTTATAGTCCTAGAGTTTCCTTCAGAGCATGTAATTGCGAACCAAATAAGAACATTACAACGCAAAGGCTAAATGGTTAAGAGTCCATTTCACTATCACTAGTCCAAAATAGTAGCAAAATAAGCGTTCAGTATTTAACGTTTTATGTAAACCACAGGGAATTTTACAATAAAATGAACAAGGACCTTAAAGATAAAGGATTATACTATATCCGTATTGTAGCACATTTTAGACAATTCTTTATTTTAAGATTTTGATAAAACATAAGACAACAAGATTAAATTTTCTCGAGAATAAACACATAATTTAAAAATTTCTGTTACAATAAGGAAATAGATTGAAGTTTTATGATTACAGTGATATATAATTTTATATGGTTTTGTAGAACAAATTGCTTCGCTATTTTATGGCAAATGCTGAAGCTCTGCAAACCTTAATCAAAGCATGTGTTTGGAATTTTGGGTGTGGCTTAACATGACGGGATCGGGCTAAGACTTAGGGAGATTTCTGAAATATTATATATATTTCCTTCGGCCACACACGCGCTTTACCCGACCGCTGAGAGCGACCCGAACTGTACTGTACAGCGAAATAGACTCTTAAATAAACAAAGGCAAAATGGTAAACATTAAAGAAGTAATTGGAAAAAGTGAAGAAGCAGAATATAAATATAATCTCTTTTACGACTCAGGGAAGATTTCGACAGAAGACAGAAAAAAGACAGATGACGTCCATAACACCATTTATTTTATATAATTTATAACTATTTTATTTTGTGAATTTTCTTACAGCGGCGAAATATCCATAGGACTTTTGGAGAGATGAATCCACACAGGAATAAACATTTTTTAAAATGAACTTGAAATTAAAATGACAGACGCAACTATCACTGTCAGGGATTTTATAGTGGGACAGACTAAAATATAATATATCATTACCGGTGTTGTTTTACCATATAAATATTGAACAGTAATTTATTGCCATCATATTGTACCATATAAATATTATTGTGTTAAAATAAAAAAAAAAAAAATCTATTAAAAAAATAGGGGTTGATGGTAGAAGGGTGGAAATTTAGGTTATATTTATTTTTTAATGCCACATCATAAAGAAAAATAAAAATGTCCAAAAAATAAAAAAAAGAGTCAACCACCCTTATCATTTAGGGTACATAAAATTTCATAAATATCGGTCGAGCCGTTTGAAATAGTATATGTATAATGGAATGGTAACTAAAAATTTAATAATTGTAAATTTTATAGATAATATTAGATATTTCAAGACTTATCGTACACTATTTCAAATATCAAAATGTGTAAATCTTGCGTGAGAATTATTCCCTAGCATGAAAACATAAAACCTACCTTAGGCAAGTCAATAAAAAACTGACTAGACGTCTTCAATACTGGAGTTTTCCCACAAACTTTACATCGGGGATTTTTCAGCTCGATGGCGTTGACTAGTTTGCCGCAACCGTCGCACTGATCGCCCCGAGCATCTTCATAGTTGCAACCGATGTTTGGGCAACCGCCTTCAACAAATCTATCGGCGAGATAGCGATCGCAGCTTTCGCAGTGCAACTGTTCCACCGACTGGGTAAACATAAATCCGTTGTTATTTAGTTGCAGGAATAGATCTTGAGATAACCTGCAAACGCAATCAAATAATTCAGTTATTTTAATTTAAATATAACTAATTAAAGTATTTTATCATATAAAATAATATATTGGAAAACAAATAATAATCACTGGATTGGTCAAGACTTTCTATTCCTAAAATACTACAATATAACTAAGACGAAACAATTTAATTAAATAGCTGATAGTTGATAATCATAAAAAATAAAGTTGCGAGATATGATATAATAATATACAGGGTGGTGCACGTCATCCGTCTCGGTTGAATATAATAAAAAAGGAAAGATGTAGAAACAAAATATTTTTGGGGGGATATATGCGGGGATGCAATGTGCACAATTTAAAAATTATTTGAAATATACTAGGTGTTTTAGAACTAAGATCCATACCAAAAGTATATTTTTTCTTATGGAATACCCGGTACTTTTGCTTCATTTTTTGGATTCTTGGACCTAAAATGTCATTTATTATAAGAGTTAAATATGTATAAAATCTAGTTTTCAAGATATTAAGAAATATTTAAATATGCATTCTACAATAGAATAGATTATCAACGTCCTGTAGATTACTTTTTCAGAATTAATTTTGTGTTGAGTTTAAAGGTAGAGAAATAAACTTTACTGAAAATTTGTATTGCTTCCCTTAAATTTTATAATAGGGGTACTAAAATCATAGATAAAAGAAAAAAAATTTTTAAAAATGTATTTTTGCATGTACTCTCTGTTGTTTAAATGCAACACCCTATATCGAAGCCGATTCAAATGCTTAACTATATTCATTGATTTTTCAACAAAATGGCAATCAAGATGACTGGTGTCGCTTTGGCAATTTTCTAGTGGCAATTAGTAACTATTTTCAATATCGACATTAGTTTATGGACTTTATTATTTAAATTTATAGCAGTTCACTATAATTTACCCACAATAGTTTAATAAGTAAGTATTCATTATTATTTAATATGTTGATCATTATTTTATCATGAAAAATGAATCAGGAAGTGATGGCGGAACGAATGGATATGTTACTAGTGATTTTATTTTGTAGGAAAATTTCTTGTTGGCGTCAAGGGCTTATGCTCAAAGATATCCAAATAGTAATTTTCCTGATAAGTTTCCCTTTGAAAACATTGTTTTCCTGATAAGTTTTCCTTTGAAAACTTGTCCTATTTCACAGAGCTGGTATTGTGCTTTATGGAAAACTTACTAGGCAGAAACCTGTCGTTGGAACTGAAAAATCCGTCTTTATTCAAAATCTGAGCTAGATAGGTATAGGAAACCCTAATATAGTTTGAAAGAGCATTTAAACTTTGTTACTATGGACTTGTTTTAAAAAATTCAGAGTATTGCATTTGAAGTAACAAAATTTTTATATAAAATAAATATTTAAAATAGACTAACAATTTTTGATGCCCCTGTATACATATTAAACGAAACAATCAAATTTTTCAGTAAAGTTTATTCCTCTGTCTTAAAAATCACCACAAGACTTAATTCTGAAAAGTAATATACAGGGTGTTGACAATATTTTTTATTATAGCATGCATATTTTAAATATCTTTAAATATCTCAAGAAACAAAGCTTGTAAACATATTAAACCCTTATAATACATACCTTATTTGTGTCAAGGATCCAAAATAAAATAAAATACCGGGTGTTCCATAAGAAAGCATATAACTTTGGTGTGGATTTTAGTTCTGACCCCACCCTATATATTTTATCAAATAAAATATATAATATATATATTTTATATTATTAAAGAGTTTAAAGTTACACAGTTGGGGGTTGGAACCTTTGGCTAAATTTTGCTTTGGCGTTACAACAGCAAAATAAAACACAAAATTTCACCAAAACACTTTAATGTTGCACTGGACGCGCGTTTGCTAATCATCTTAGCATCATCAGCATGCTAAAACTGTTTATTGTGGTAAATTAGTGTTTTTTTTTTTTTTTTTTTTTGTTCATTTAAATAAAATCTGCATTTACAATAATGTTAATATATTATTATACAATTCACATAACTTGAAAACATCCATACTCACTCTGTTTGTTCTGGATTGGATGTTCTTCCAAAGTGATCAAAACTGATGTTAAACCATTCATAAATCTCCTTGTGAATTTTGAAGTATTTGTCGCAAATAGCTTGACACGACAAGCCTTCCTCCAAAGCTTTCGTCTCAGTTGCCGTACCATACTCATCAGTACCACAAATGAACAATGTTATTGTTGCACAACCGCGAAAATCTTGCAACACATCAGCCGACAAGACACATCCAATAATATTGCCCAAGTGGGGAACATTGTTCACATAGGGCAATGCTGAAGTAATAAAAATATTCTTTTCTCCAGCTTTTGGCAATCTTAAATGAACAGTAAATGCTTGCAAATCAATTGAATTATATGAAGAACAATATAGTTCATTTTATATAAAATTTTTTTTTTTTTTTTTTTAATATTAATTTATTTTCTTTAATTTTGGCAAATTTTTATATCTTTTCCATGCTTTCTACTGCTTCTAACTCTTCCTTGCCAACCACCTCAGATATATGAATTGGAGATTCTTTTTCATGTGTAGGTGATTCTTTTTCTTGGATTTGATTAGGTATCGAATCATCTTGTGGTAGTACATATTTTGAACTTTGTAGCAAAGTATGATATGATGCATGGCCAATATTGACTTTGTCATGAAAAATTACTTTTAAAGCATCCTAAAATTATAAAAACTGACACAAAATTGTCTTTATAAAGTAATATATTTATGTAGGTACCTTAATCTCAGGCTTTTCTTCAAGTGACTTAATCCATTGAACAATATTAGGCATATTTGCAAGGTATTCCTTAAATAATTTCTCTGATTTATATAAGGGATATAAAGTACTAAAAATAGCAATATCAGCTATTGAAACACTGTCCTAGAAAAGAAATACCAGATAGTAAACAAATGCAATTGATCCAAATAGTTTCAACGGTGCACAATAGTTTTCAATAAGCATTTGCCTTATCTAACTTAAGGTTATCAACTATTGCATCATTGCAACACTGTACAATTTTAGTAATAATTAATTAAATAATATAATTACAACTAAAAAGTAAATAAGACGCATCAGTGGCTTACCCCGATTAAGAATAATTTATCTTTAATCTCCAAATTAATTGTATCGAGGGATGATTTTATGATACCTTTGATTTTGTCAGATTTACTATTTCCACCGAAAATAAATGCAAGGGAAGGTGATAGAGCAATTGCCTCTAATTCGAGTAATTCAGTTACTTTCTCGGAAATCTCGTCTGAAGGTTCCAATAAATACCATATTGCAGCATTTGGAATGAAATATTCTCGGTCAGAGTTTGCAACTAAATATGGTAGTTGTCTTTTACCATCTGAAAGAAATGTTAGATAAAACTAATAACACAGCCATAACAACAAAACAAGCTTAGAAAATATATTTATTATAATTTCAGCTATATTTTAAAGATATTTACCATTTGGGGTGAGATCAAGTTTGCATTTTGTTCTGGCAAAATTATTTGCTATGACCAGTTTTAACGTCGCTGGATTATTATCATTGCCAATTATGGTCGTCATCTTTTTAACTTCCAAATAAATTAAGTTTCTTTAGTTTCTGTAATACGATACATGAAAAGGTTGAAAAGAGCATGCATAAATAACAAAAATACAGGTTATACACGACACCGCGTTGACGTTTCACTCATGGTTCTGCGAATTAATATTGCATAATCCAATGAATAGCGTTGCACTAGACCAATGAATCAGACAGAGAAAACAGGTGTAGGGAACGTCGTAGATTCAACAACAGCTTAGTAGGTATTTTTTTGCGTGATACGAGGGGTTTTCTAAAAGTAGTGAAATTTCTAACTAAACGAAATAATATTCTGATAAATTGAATTCCATGAAATTGATTTTGTTTATAGTTCTGTAATAATAATTATCCTAACATTTATTTATGAAATGTAGATAAGTGTAATTTTTTTTACAGGTATTGATAACCCTGTCCAGTGCCTTCTATTAAAAGATCAGCCTGCGGGCGGACTTTTGTTTACTTCATCAGCTGTACATACTTAGATATTGGGTTAGATTCCGTTTCATATTTTGTCGGTTGATTTTTGGTTTTAACTCTTTGATTTTTGGTATTATTTATTATTGTAGTGCAAAAAACTAATTATTTTGGTGTTGAAGTGACATAAACTACTACTACAGATATAGGTCTTTTCTCGGTTTCCTTACAAAAAATAGAAATTTTAAAAATTACTTTTTTTTTTTTTTTTTTTTTATTCATTTTTTACTTATCGTGATTTTGTGTGTGTTTTTTAAGACCCTAACAATTCATCAATAAAGCTAAAGTGGAGTGTGTTATTGGTGCTATGCCTCATCTTTGTTGTGTTCCTGGTGGTAAGGATGGTTACTAAGGATAGTTATTATACTAGGCGGCCTAAAGTGTCCGGAAGAGCAAGGAAAGTGGGTACGAGTTATAAATCAAAGAGAATTTTTATTGAAAATATCTTTAATAGATTTAAAAATAATATTCTCCCATGATGGTATTAATGAAAACTGGACAATTATGTTTATTTTATTCATATTATTGGAATCTCCACTCAAAGTGTTGCTGGTTCAGCTTCGATAGATTCAAACACGAAAGTAGGTATTATGATCTAGGGAAAAATAAAGAATATGTGTATTAGAGATCATGAAAAAAGATTATTATTTTGAGTTCAAATTTTAAAAGATTTTGTAAGAACAAGACTGATACAGTTTTAAAAGAAGAATGTGTTTTTGTTTGATAATATATAATGTATGTTTAGCATAACATATATTTGTTCAGTAATTTTAATGAATAAGTATTGATTATTTATAATACCAAATTAATATCAAATATTTAAGTGATGGCTGAATACAATATGAATAAAATAACAATAAAATTGGTATATTGCATAATACAAAATTAAGTTTTAAGAATAAAGGTGTTACTAAAATACTAAAATTCATATTTCTTTGTTTTTAATTGGTCTAATGTTATTTGTTTACGTGAATTATACCGTATCATCGAAAAAATCGGCGTCTAGTTGGCTTGGAAATGAACATCGATGCCATTCCCTAAATAACTGTACACATAAAATAATTAACTAGAATTTTACAATCTTGGAAAATTTGATATTCTTGAACCTTGATTCTAAATATTCTAAATTTTTTGATTTTCTTGGAATTTAGGTTCAGGAAAAACGCTGATTGATTTTTCATTTGGTTTTTCATTATTTTATTTGGTTTAAAAAAAAGGTTCGGCTAACATTATAGCCTCCATCAGTGTTGTGTCATATAGAAAAAAATAGTGTCGAATATAATCCAAAAATTGCATATAAATATTCACACCACGCACATAATGTCTACTGCGTACTCCATAGTCTCCGTAGTCAATGTAGATAATTTAGTGTTAAGAATAATAATTTAAAAAAATATGTGGTCATCTTTTGATAAGTTTATATTAGTTTATTAATTAAGTAAACATTATGAGGTGTGAATTATATTGTATATTTAATTTTTTTGGATTATATTCGACATTTTTTTTTTTTTTTAAACAAATAAACAATAATGGTGAAAACATCAACTGTTTTCCAAACAAAATCAAAAAGTACAGAATAATTTAACATATAAAATGCCAGCGATCTTCATTTCATAGCGCCTTTTAGATAATATTGTATTATTTGTAAATATAATTTTTCAGAACATTGATACTTGCAAAATATACATATAAATTTTGTGAATGCAAATAATAATACATCACTATTAGTAGATATTAATGTTTTTGTTAAATTAAGTTAAACCCCAAAATTTAAAATATATTTTACCCATTATCTGTAATC